GTGATCTCGGCAGCATACTTGTACAAAACAAGTGTTGGCTTCTCCGCTGTACATTTAGCCCTGCTTGCCCAAAGCATGGCTAAATGTAGAAAACAACTACCCACCCATGGTTTTCTGGGTACCCCGCTCTTCTGGGGGACCCAGGAAAACGACAAATTAATTCAGATGGAGAGCGGGGAGCAGATCAGAGAACTTCCGTTTTCCGGTCTGCTCTTCTGTTAATAGTGATAAAAGAACGCAGTACACACAACCTTCCTGTCTCAGCTGTCATAGGAGTTCCAGCACAGTGCCCAAATGCTTCAATACTTACCCCCAATACAGGAACTTCCAGTCAGAGAGAGATTTCCTCTGACTGGCAGTGCCGCAAGGGAACATGGAGCACGCCGCCAGGCTTCCTGATTGGCCGGGAAGCCGGCTCCATGCTAGCGGAAGTACCGGTAGATAAATATTGGTACTATTACTCGATAACGAAAAACCGGTATCGGTACATCCCTAATAAAAAATAATAATTTTACCGTTGGGGTTACCACAACTTGGCAAATGTTACCAAGGGGTCCCGACCCTAGAAAGGTTGAGAACCACTGTTGTAGACAGGGGCTACTCTTGTTCCCCATGGTCGCTGTGTGTGTTGTAAAGTAGCCACCACTCCAAGCCCCCTCCTGTCATAGACTGCAATCTCAATACAAATTAGTAAACTAAACATGCGATTGTAGTCCATCACACGAGTGAGCTTGGAGTGGTGACTACTTTACAATACACACAGGGACCATGGGGAACAAAAGTAGCCACCCTCCAGAAGGAAGGATGGTGTCAGCACCAATTCAGAGGTGATTTGAGGATCTACATCCGAGTGATACACAAATAAGTTCCAGTATTGTTGAGGTACGTGAATGCATTTTTCAGATATACTATAATTCTTCTGGAAAAGGTAGCTCCCTCTCTGACCATTGATTTCTGTACCGTGAGGCACAGGCCTAATATGCAAGTCTGACTTTCTAATCTGCATGCTTGTTCCTGGTCAACAAGACAACTAGTATTCTTGTAAAAGTAGTCAGCGCTAGCTGCCTGTGTATTTCTCTCAGTGCAGGTAGTTTTCATAATGTAAATATATACAATAATGTGTTCTTTTAGTACACTCCCAGGATATCTTACCATGAAGGTGAGTATCTAAAAAGGTCTGAGCTGTATGGAAAATATTTGCTCTTTACTTGCAGATATAGATTGGATCAAGTATACTTTTGAGTGTCTTAGATAAGAGAACCTTTGATTACATATTATCTGTTATAGTTTTGGTATGACACTATATGTGGTCTCTGGGGTCAGCAGATAAGGGAGTAAGAATCCCTGGAAATGACAGATAAGTTTTCTAAGGATTACCTCAATCTGAGCTCTAGAGATACAGAATATTCTTTTCCCAAACACATACCTTATGTGAGGCTGGAAACACATGGACAGATCTTTTATTAGTTTAGTTAGATAGCATGAAAGGAGAACTATGATGTGAGTGATTTCCACTCATCCTCATAGTTAGAGCAGACGTGTGACAATGAAACTGTCACAGGTCAGCTTTATTGATTGTGAAGTAAGCAGAAACATGCACCGATCCACTCACTTCCCGATCATCTCCCTGCAGTGAGCATTGACTGTCAGTCACCGCCCCCCGCAGGGATTCCCCCTCCCCTCTCCGATCTT